AGCAGCGACGGCATTTGTAGCATATAGTAGTAGTAGTACTAGTAGTCGTCGTCGTCGTCGTCGTCGTCGTAGTAGTAGTGGTAGTGGTAGTAGTAGTGGTAGTGGTAGTGGTAGTGGTAGTGGCAGCGGCAGTGGTAGTGATAGTGGTAGTGGTAGTAGTCGTAGTGGTAGTAGTCGTAGTGGTAGTAGTCGTAGCGGTAGTAGTAGTCGTAGTAGTAGTCGTCGTACTAGTACTAGTACTAGTACTAGTACTAGTACTAGTACTAGTACTAGTACTACTACTACTACTACTACTACTACTACTACTACTACTGCTAGTAGTACAAGAAGTAGTACTGGTAGTAGTAGTTGTAGTAGTAGTTGTAGTAGTAGTAGTAGCAGTAGTAGTGATAGTAGAAGCAGCAGCAGCAGGAGTAGTAGTAGTAGTAGTAGCAGCAGCAGCAGCACAGTAGCAACAGCACTAGGAGTAGCGTAGGAGTAGGAGCAGCAGGAGCATGAGTCGGAGAAGTAGAAGTGGGAGTGGTAGTCGTAGTAGTTGTAGTTGTACAGGCAATCGCAGTAGTAGTCGTCGTCGCAGCGGTAGTGCTCGTCGTCGTCGGAGCAGGAGCTTCAGTGGCAGCACCATGAGCAGTAGCAGTTGCAGCAGCTGAGGCAATGAAAGTAATCCTGTGCTGCTGCCTCCTCCAATCGGCGAGCCACTGCTGCAGAGCGCTGCAAGCCAAGGCTCAGGCGCCCAGTCGCCTCACAGCGGATTGGAGACCTAGCTCGCTGGCCTTCGGCCTGAAGATCCTCGGGCTCACGGGCTTTGCTTCGAGCTGCAGTTGTATACCACTGGTAGGACTCTTGCTGAGGCTGCTTGGTTTCTGGAGACCTTGGCCACATCTCTCAGCAGTCAATAGAGGGGGTAGTCTTAAGTCTATCACTGCCGAGACACCTCAGCCGACACGCGCAAGTCTCCTTGGCAAAGAAAGGGATAAGCAGATCAGGTCGCTCCTTCCAGAGTTGACGCCCAGAAATGATTGGTAACCACTGAAACCACCAAAGGCACTTCGACCATCCACTGCACAGCGTCGCGGTCTAGCCACCGCGGATACACAGTGACTGTGCAAGGAGAACCAGGAAAACTAAACTCTGGAGAACATCAGCACTGCTTTGTGACAGTTCCATGCTCGAAAAGCCAGGGTGCGTACTGCACGCTCAGCTTTTGACAAGCAGCTCAAAGCCTGCAGAGAACGTTGAAGAGGGTTTGTGCGTTTCGGGGGAGCAAGGCTCCTTCAGCTGTCCATTGTCTTTGATGGCTACCGCCACACTGCATCATTGTTTACACTGCACACTGCATCCGACATGTTTCGCGGCAATTTCAGGCGGGGCATCCGACACGTCGCGCCTAAGGTGGCGCAGTTCAAACGACATCGCGAGTCGGCTTCAAAAAGCATCGGACAGCGTAAGGGGCGGGGGTGAACGACGGGACTCTGGCCTTCTGCAGGTCCTCCTCGCCCGTGGAAGTCTCCATCTCTTCCAGGCGCAGGCAGGCCGCGTCATTCGTCGAAAGCGCAGTTGCAGCTGCCTTCGGCATGGGCCGCGGTAGACGTGAGCTGCAGCTGGTGTTTCACCTCCGAGAGCGCCACTCGCTCCAGCAAGCTCGCGGCACAGGACCTCGCCTGACCAAGGTCGGGCTTAAAATCAAACTTTTCATGGACTTCCCCATTCTACTCACTCGGCGTTGATTCATGAGTCACGAATGGACAGCGAACCCGTGGCGACCAGCAGCACGCTGCCGGCAGCGGTGCAGCAAAGTTCTGCGGCCGCCAAGCAGCCAGCGATGCAGAGCCATGTGTCCTCACCGTCGAGGCTACGAAGGACAGAGCAGAGAAAGTGGCGAACTGTGCTTGCTTCGGCAGCCAGCTCCTCGTGGACGGCCATGGCACACTGTTCAGGGAGAGGGGCCGTAACATCCAAATGCTTGGGCGGAGGAAAAGGGCTGAAGCCGCCCTCAAGCCGTCCTTTACCGTCCACATCCAAGCGGGTAGTTCTCTAAATTAGGGTCCCCTTTTAGTTCCCCAATTTAGTACGGCACCCGTATAGAAAGGACCCCAGAAAGGACCCTAATTTAGAGGACTGCCCAAGTTTTTAAGGCAAAGGCTGTTGATCACCTCCACTTTACCCTGCAGGAGCTCATCATCTTCCGACCTGAGGTTCGCACAAGAAACAAAGAACTCACAGCTGAAAGCGCGGCGCACCCCATGACCGAGAAGGCCAAGATGTGTCCTCTCCCGGCTTTCTCCCGCGAAAACTCGAACCTTGCGGTGGGCGGACAGCTCAGAGCGGCAGAGGCGGGGCAGCCCCGGGGCCTGGTACTGAGCTGCGCGGAAATTCCGGCCGAGCGCGCGCTGAGGACCGCCGCCTTCAGGTGCTTGAGCCGCTTGAGTGGCGGAAGCGTGTGAAGACCAGGATGCCAGGCCTCGTTGCTGGCATAGCTGCGGAACATGAACCTGCAACCGATAAGTCTTGAGGCCCGGCCGAAGCATGAAAGATGCAATTGCAAGCAAAATCTGCCAGAGAGATCTCTGAGACTAGCACGTGTGGGCACATGCCGGCAGCTTGTCTTGACAGTGCATGAAGCTCCCACAATCGAGCACGATATCCTGGAACCGCCGGACAGTCTTCGAGGCTGCAGAAGTGGGAGTGTTAAGCTCCTCGTTTTCACAGGCTGGGAAGGCAATGGCAAGTTCTCGGTACCTTCATGCAGCCATCAAAGCGAAGCTGCATTGTCTGGTTACAGTACTTGCAGGGTCTGGGACGCCAGGGGCGGAAGCGCACGGTCCAGATGAAGTGTTCCGGAAGTCGCCAATGCCGACACCTGGACAAAAGCTGGTACAGCGGGCAGTGGAGTCACTGCGACCAATAGATACGGTGACGCTGCGCTTCGTCCGTGCACGCGACCGCTGGCACGTTCAAAACTCTCTCTCCTGGCTTTGCCTGCATTCTCTCAACACGGCTCTCCATTCGGCTGGAGACTCGGCTTCGAGCTCATGAGCGCTCTCGGCTCCTTGCCATCCTCCAGAAAACGCACAAGATGCACAAGGCGAAGCCACGGGAAACTGGACGGCGGAGGTCGGGCGCAGAATCCGCGGGTCGCTGCTCGCCTCTGACAGCTGCACCGGCCGCCATCTTTTCGAGCTCAAGCTGGCCTGGCTCCGCACAGAGCAGCGATGATGCGAATTCTGATGAAGACTCTGACAATGACCATGGCCACAATAACGGGCATGTTGGTCAGCATGCTGCTGGTGGTGATGATGATGGTGGTAGTGGTCATGATGCTCCTGAGGATGGTGCTCCAGTGCTGCTCTTGATGACGATCGACATAAACCGTGGCCAAAATCATGGTGAAAACGATGGCGGTGATGGTGACAGTGAACGTGATGACGATGAAGATGACGACGAGATTGGAGACCGTGATGGTGCGGCCGCGGATCAGCACCACCAATGTCAGCATCAACAACGTCAGATCACCTATGACAATAGAATCATGATCGAACTCGAACTATTTCAACAGCATGATCGTCATCATGCTGGAACCTTGTCGTTATAATCACAAGCAAATCCAGCCTATCACATGGATAGCTAAGATTTCACCAACCATGCCACGTCTTCAAAGGACTTGAGTCTCGAGTTTCGAAAACACCGACCCTACCGCCGCAGCGTGTGTGCCAATGTGTGCCAGAGCCTGCAAGCCGTCCACACGAGCAGTGCCGACGATCTGCAGCTGGCATCGCGTTGGAGCGGCGGAGACACGCAGTTACGTGTAAAGTGTAAACAAGACAGTACGACCGACTCGGCATCGTACACTGCATGCTGGGCCGGGTCAACCACCTGGAACGCAAGTCTCTGCCTTTGTGGCTCGCAAAGCCGGGAAAAGCAGAACAACAGCTGCTTGACCGGCCAGGGGACCGGAAAGATGTCAAAAAAGCTCGCCTCGCCAGGCAACGCTCAAAGACACCGTCGCTTCGAGTCGTGCCTTACTTATATTTGATTCTAGTTTTGGTGATGCGTCAACAGGAACATGCGACATCGCTATGTGGACTCCTACGAAAGCTTGTTGGTGCTTCCTTCGCAGGAAGCCCTTGGGAACCTTCGACAGCCTGCCTCTGCGGTCAATGTGGTAAGCAGCAAGCACAAGAAGGCGTCCATGGTGCATGTCTTGAAGTGTCGGCTCTGACCTTTTCATCACAGAAAACTCTCGCTGCTAGCACGCGTCACACCGTCGCCTATGCTGTTTGATGCTGGGCACACAACCGTGTCTTTGCAGGAACTGCTGTCAAGTCTGCATCTACTTGACGCTCGAGTCTGCAGTGTTGCAAGAGAAGCTCCAAGCAACGACGCCAGCACTGCCACAGCAGCCAAACAGTGCAGCAGCTGAAGTCGTGTTTCACATTTTTTCAGACTTCACCAGTCAGCTCAAGAACATGGTCCGCAAGAGAATGCCATCACTACGAGGCGATCCATCTCCGCTTCAGTGTCCTCTGGGTACTGGTCCGCACATGCGTGCTAGTCACGCCTGATCCGGCATGCAAAGACTCTTCAAACAAGCCTTCTTCGGTGCTCGTATTTCCTTCGCGAGCTGGAATATAACAAACTGCGAGCACATGAGTCCGTAACGAGCTCAGCACTCACAGTCGACGAGGGCTCGTTGCTCGTAGCACTTGATGCGGATAGTTTTCGCTGCATTTTGTGGAAGTCCGGCCATGTAAGGCTTCCGACGGAAACCATGGCTCAGCAGGGCAAGTGCCGCCGCATTGTGCACTCTCGGCAGCAAACTTCCATCAAATAACCTATCAAAACATCCGAAGGATGTCCTCCAAGAAACATCATCTTTCACAGTGCTTCAATCGACTGCCGTACCCACATCAAACGAACCCAGCAAAGGGATTCTAAGGTTCGACTGTGCGAGGTCCGAAGCACGGAGCGCACACAGAGCTTGCTCGCGCTCCGCTCATGTTCCCTCAAAGGTGCAGTCCCATGCTGCACGGTCACGATGACTCTCATGGCATATTTCACTGCAGTTTACAACATGAAAAACGAACGTTCACAATTGGGGAACATAGAATCCCCGAGTTTTAGACAGGGAGTCTTGACACCATTTCAAAGAGTAGCCAGGTGTCCTCGGCATGCTGGTAACTGCTTTCGTCTTGGTCCCGGCAATTGTCGGAGCCCTCACTTTCCTCCATCTCCCGAGTGTGGCATATTTGGGCGGAGCATCTTCTCACATATAGGGTTTAGGGTTTAGGGTCTAGGGCTCTTCCGGTTCAGGGTGTATAGGGTCTAGGTTTGTTTAGGGTTTCGGGTTTAGGGTAACTTCCTGCTCACGCTCAGATGCAAACACAGACACCGACACACACCGTAGGGATGGAGCTAGGCTGGCGCGAAAGTGAAAGAAAAAGCGAAGTCTAGACGGCTCTAAATCAAGTCACGTCCCGAGCTATCCGATGGCCTCACTGGATGCATTGTGGTAGCATCCGGAGGTTAAACTCTGTGAACGATATGCATCTTCGGATGTGTGATGCACTCTGCAGTCACTTGTTGTGCAGTGGTTGCTCAACCACATGACAGACGGCCATCGTCCACAGAAGCTCGGGGTCATGAGGTTACAAGATTAAACGATTGGCGACCATGAAAGAATCAGGTCAGCTCTCCAAACTGGCGCACAAGCGCAAAACCAGCGCCATCCGGTGGCTTTGCTGGTTTTCGGGATGAGGACTCCCTCAACTTCCTCCAGCGGAGGCGAAAGAACACGTAATCCTGCGAGACAGTCATCCGATCCAGACGGCAGAGTCCAGACCGCGAAACGGCTGGGCCGCCCTTCAACTTCGTTCATTTCACTCTCACTGTGTGGGGAGGTTGCGGATTCGCGCTGTACCCAGCTTCCTGCAAGTGCGCAACATGGCAAGAACCCTGATGCGGTAGATGTGATGTCGCTGTGATGGATTTGCGCTCTGTCCTCCAACGGCTCGATCTCGAAGCTCATGAACGAATCGGCCTGACGACAGCCAGAGAAAGCCCTGCCGCCTGCGTCTGCAACCCCCTAGGCAAAGCTGTTGAGCAGGGGACGGACCAAACTTCGTAACGGCGTGCTGGATCGGGGTTCAGCAAGATTTCCATCCTGAGAGGGTCCCGGAGCAGCTGGGCGGCCCTATGGCAATTGATCGAGGCACCGGCAGCTGCAAAAGTTCAGGGGACAAATGTCCCTCGACAGGCTGCCTGGCAGACGACAATCGCATCGCCAGGCATTCACCGGCACGCTGAGGACCATCGCCAGACCGGGTCCGTGAGTCTGGAAACCATTCTCATACAATCCTTGGCATGCCTTTTCTGGGAGCTGCCCGTACATCTACCTACCCAATTGGGTACACATACATCATACAACCAACGGGTGTATTCGTTAAACACGTAAGAAGTCAACCGATTGTTCAACCAGTGACCAACCAACCAACCACCCACCCAACCGACCAAACAACCAAGCAAGCAAGCATGCCAGCAAGCAAACAAGCAACGAACACATTATCTAACGAGCAAACTGCTTGATTGCTTATTTATAGTTCGTGCGTTAATTGCGCTAAGCTCTTTCTTTCATTTGCGGTTCATTCTTTCATTCATCCAGTAACTGCGACAGGGGCATCCGGCAGCTCGCATGTACCAGGTATCTATTTAAATAGTGATGAGCACCTTGTAAACTTGCAGTGCTTCAACTTATTCGTGGAAACCCCTGGTATAAGCTCAAAGCTCCACCCTAAACCCTAAGCCCTAAGCCCTAAACCCTATCCCCTAAACCCAAGGGGAGAGACAAAAAAAGCGCATGGCTCGCCCTCTCGAGCCGTCTGCGAGGCGTACGCGTCTCTTTCGAAGGAAAGCCTCCGCCGTGGAGAGTCGCTGGGATTCGCAGCGGACTGCTGCGGCTATATTGTATATATTATATTATATTATATTATATTATATTATATTATATTATATTATATTCTATTCTATTCTATTATATTATATTATATTATATTGTATTATATTATACTATATTATATTATATTATATTATATTATATTATGTATATGGTATGAGCACGACCACGACGACGACTGCTGCCAAAGTCTCATTTCCTAGAATTGCCAGAGTCTCAACCCTTGGGAGCTGGCATGCCGCATGAAAAACCGAGAAGAGAGAGAGAGAGAGAGCAAAAGTCGGAAGAAAAAGGGGGATGCATAGGTCTTGCTGGATCCCGGTGGCCAATCATGTCCCCGAACCCCGGCCGTCAGCCCGTGCGTCATGAAGAACTCGAAAGCACTGCACTGCTGCGGCCTGCAAACTCGGAGGCACACAGCATACATGTGACATGTCCCAAGCAGCTGAACTAGCTTTCACCGGCAGCAGCGCCTGAAAGAATGATGGAGACCGGGTTATCTAAAAGATATACCCGCAAGTTCGAAAAAAAATCACATGTGAGGGCTGCAAGCCAGATCGCTTGCTGCTTCTTTGTGTCGTTGATCACCGTTGACTTGCGCATGCAATGCAAGCTGCGCTTTCTGCCGAGAGCTAGGATCGCCAGCCAAAAAAGATGCAACTTGTTTGTGTGATTCAGGTTGTGCGGCACACGAGCAGCCTGGCTGAGCCACTGTTGGAAGCTGATTGGGTCTCAAGTGCTGGGTTCTGATCAGTCTTGTTGCCATTTGTTGCTTCAGTCAGATCATCAACTTCCGCATGCTGAATCGTGTATGTGTGGCTGTGGGAATGCATGCACATCTGCAAGTCCAATCTAGCCTGGTGCACTTCCAGGGATAGTCTGCGCAGGCGAGACAGTAGGCGAAGACCTCCGGAAAAGGGACAGAGAGAGAAAAGGAGAGAGACAGAGAGAGAGAGAGAGACAGAGAGCGAGTTGGACGACGCAAAGTGCATACTCACACTGCTCTGCCAACAAAGCTCGTCAATCATCTTCAGCCCCCCACTCCGCAGGCGAAGAGATCAGCCGCCCTGGCATCATAGCAGCCAGACCTTGCCAGTCCAGCGAAGGAATCGACTTTTTTCTGAGGGCTTGAAAAAGGGTTCCGAGGCCAGTGCTGGTGCATTTCAGGGGCCTGCACAAAGGACCCGACCGCTCTTAGACTGTAGCTTGACTGCACGTTTCGAGCAGCCTGATAAGACGGCTTGCCGCGAATGCCCTGCACCCACACGTCTGCTTCCTGCCATGGGCTCTCTGCAAGTAGGCCTCTAGAGGCTAGAGTCCACCGTGCTGCTAGCTGCTACCTGCTAGAAATCCAAACACATGCCAGGCGCTGCTGCAGCTGCAAAGTCAATCAGCCTGACCTCTCCAGATCGAAAGATATCAATCATCTCGCTGGCTTCTCGAAAGAAAGGCCTCTCCATCCGGCCCGAGCAATGCATTCTCCAGCGAAATGTCGCCGTGAGCCACCTTGCAAAGGCTGCACCCTTCAGCCAGACCCTCGAAAGTTGCACCCGTCGGAGATGTGGCTTGAGATGTTGGCACGAACAGACCACAGAAATGCAAGTAGGATTGAAAAGCAGGTAGGCAGGTAAGGCCGCGGCGCCAGCGTCGTGCAGGCAGCGGACCTGGCAGATGCGACGGGTCCATGCACGCCAAGGCCGCCAGCGGATTCCACGCGTCGCTGGGTCAAGGACTCCGCGCAGCAGCGAGAGCACAACCGGCCACACCTACGACAGATGCGCTGTGCAGGTTCTTCGAAAAGCCGGTGCCTTTTTGTCCACGCAGGCCTTCTGCTCCCTCTCCGGTCCAGGCTTGGTGGAGCATCTACTTGCCAAGTCGTGCAAGTCGCCACCGCTGATGTACTGATCAGGATGCCAGCACGAACACGCCCTCATACAAACTTGCAACACTTCAGCCGTAATCTCTGTCGCCTCCATGAACAGAAGGATGTCGCCCTGTTCAGGGAGGACTCACTGTGACCTTGAAATTCGTTTGTTGTCACTCTCGCCCTCTCGCCTCTTCATCTCGGAAGGCTCCGAAGCTCTTGCACACTCCGAGCTTCGCCTACAGAGACCACAGGAAATGCGATACGGCGAAGCCACAGGGAGAGGTTGCCTGGACTTTGTTCAAGCCCAGCACAAGGCTGATCTCCACTTCCTGCCACTTGCGAACGCTCCGCCCCATGTCCCAAGAGCATCTGCCAGACCTTCCATGGGCTCTCCAGCAGGTCGGGATGGGCTGCTGCGAACTCCTGAAGGCAGCGCAACAGGAACCACGACGCCACTAAACACAATCGATTTTGCTACAGCTTCCATGGCAGGCCTCGGCACTTCCCAGTGTCCACGAGCGGAAAATTCGCTTTCCCACCACCTGCAGCAAAGATAGCTTCATGTTCCGCGTGCGCAAAAGCAAGAGCGTTACATGGTCAGCCTTGCAACCCTGCAGTTGGTCTTCATACAACTCAATCCTCATCTTCGAGACGAACAGAACACTCGGCCAAAGGAAGCACTGAGTTTCTCCGAGGTCGCGGCTGCCCATGATTCCTCTCCTCTTGCACCAGAATTTGCAGCCGCCTCTGCTGGTCGGTCTACGTCGAGTCTACGTCTAAGTCTCAGGATGACCAAGGACAGGAAATAACACCTCATGCTACAGCAGCCGGTGCCTGAAGCGCTCTTTGTCCACTGGCGGTAACGGGAGCTCCTGTGACGGCGTCCCACTGCTGTGCTGGTTCGAGACTCCGAGTTTGAGGCTCCCACAAAGGGGCCCAAACTGGCGGCCTTCCTGAACGAGGTTCTCATGTCCCTCCTGCTACTCTGCGCTCCGAGCACTCCTGCCTGGGCTCGTCGCTAGCTTGCTCCTTTGACATGCACATGTCCTTGGCAATTGGGGTGATGACGGCTGTTGGGTGTAAGCATTGGCCTCCACAACTCAGGCGTGAACAACTTTGAAGGGGCAAACCCAGCTCAAGCCCACCACATGGCAGACTACTGCAATCTATGGTTTGACCATGTTTGACCCGATTGTATTATATTCCCGTCACATGCGCGACATCTTTCATGCACTGGGATAACACACAAGCCAACGTCAAGATGGCGCAAGCAAAGGCACAGCGACAAATTGGACAAAAACAGATTTTTGCCGCCTTCAGCATATGGTCGAAGGTCTGCCAGACGGAATCGCTACACAGCTCGGCACTCAGTCTTCGTCGGACGCAGGAGGAGCTGTTCACAAATCTGGAACTCGTCTCGTCTCTTCATGCCGAGCTGAGGCAGGCTGATGAAGTGCTCCGCTCCGCCGCCAAGCCGCTCTTCACTCGTTACAAGATCTCCATGTCAGCCCCGGTGCTGGTGACGCCGTCCTCCTTCAGAGTGGCCCCCGTTGAGCAACTTCCCGCCTGCGCAAACTGATGTAGCAGCACACAGAACTATTCTTCGTATTCATGGATGATGCATGGTGATCCTCTCTGTTTTGCTTCAGTCCATGCTGTCATGCGGCCAAACACAAGAGCAGTGCACTGAACCCATCCTCTGCAATTTCGCCACAAGCTCTTCGTCCACCGTGAACTCGCGGGATCACCGTGTGCAAGCATTGTTGGGCTGGATGTGACCGAAACGCTAGATGTCAGAGCAGGGCAGCACTGAGGCCTCTTGTTTGTCGGCAGAATCCAGCCATCGCTGCCATTCCTGCGCGCCGGCGCTCGACTACATGAGCAGAAGCTGATCATTATCTTGAACAACAGCCACGTTTCCGCGGGCTACTGCAGACATGTAAAGTGCGCGTGCCATGTCCGCGCTCCTCGGTGTGCTGGAGAGTGTCACGACTCCCCACAACTATCAGCCCACGACCTTCTGCAGACAACAATACACAGCCGCAGTCGTAATTTTGAAGGAAGCAAGCATAAGCAAGCACTGCGAGGCCCAGACGTGCTCGTGTGAGCAAAACGCAGAGGCGCTGTGGATTTCCCGAGAATCCGGTTGCGGTGCCACCACTCCGCACCTCAGACTCACTGACTGCCCAGTCGTCTCAGAACGCTAAAGGCCTGGTTGCAAGAACCCGTTGGATGTCTACTACAGGGACCCACTTAAGTGTGCTGCTGAAGTCTGAGAATCTCAAGCCGGGTACATGACGTGATTATTCTGGCACGTTTGGTCAATGGTGGATGCACCGGCACCACGTGCAGCCTTTGGCAAAATGATGTATCAGCATCGCGTCCTGCGACTGACTACCTATCTTAACAGGGGACGACGTCCAGGCTACAATTGTCGATTAAGTGAAGCCTCCATACACGACATGGCCAAGCGCCGCACAGCTGAGTAGAAGACGTAGTCACTCTCGTTGCCCTCAACTGGATACCATCATGTGTCAGTCTGCACCCACCGTGGGGGGATTTCCCATTCCCTCAAGCACAGGCTGACAAGTTTCTGGTGGGTGGGGTGCCTTGACCAAAGCAGTGAAGTCGCCCCTGATTTTGCCAGCATACTGCAAAAGAAGAGATCAACGAGCATCCACACCGTAGAGCAGCACTTCTGGCGTCTGTAAAGCAGTCTGTTTCCGGCAGGTTGCAAAGGTAGGGGGCCTGTCACGTAGGGAGTTGGGTCATTAGGAGGATGTCCGCAGAGCCTGTGTCTGAAATGCTCTGAATCAGTATCTATGCTCCCTCCAAGTCTTGGCCGCCGAATCCTTTGCAGCCTGGTACCTCCTCCCTGACGGGCCTGGAACCCATCCACTGTGTAGATGCGCGGATGGGGCTCTGTCTCCAAAGGGTCCACGCCTTGCCTTGGGCGTTGTGTCCGTGCTGAGTTCTACTTTGGATCTCTGCTCCGCCTCCGCTCGCCGAGGCAATTGCTCCCGGATCATCGTCGAGCGGCTCTTCCGCTTCCTCAGGCGCTCAGCCGAGCTGCCTCCGTGAATGACCTTGCAACCAAGCGGGGAGGGCCCGTCGGCTCGGCTACGCTCCCCTACTGCCCTGCAGTCTTCGCCTCGTCGAGCAAGCTGTCCTGCGCCTTGTACGCGGTGAGCACCTGCGCAGCGCAGAAGATCTACTGCCACCTAGAAAGCAGTGTGTCAATCCATGGAGCTACGGCTTTTCTGCTGCTACGCCCTTGGATTGAGGCCCGCGGCACAGAGGCGGGTGTCTTCGATAGAAGCAGCCTCGGAGAGTTTGATGAACACTTCGCCCTCAGAAGATCAAGTTGGCACCGTTGGGCCTGGAAGCCACGCAGCAACTCTGCGACCTCTGGTGCTAGCTCCCGGCAAAAGAAGCTGCTGGACATGCATTCGAAGCGTCTGGGAATCTTGCGATCTGCGCCTCCATCCGGTTGTGGATAGAGATGCTTCCGAAGAAGGGCACCTAGCGTAATCATCCGATCTGGCCCGGCGATTCCATGAGATCGCGTCTCACGAGCTTGGAGCAACACCAACTGTTCCCTGCATACTTCGATCGCTGAGGTGTCCTGCTGAAACCCGCTCCATCTCTTGACAACTCGGGGGTGGCTCAACGGGCGCGAGGCACCAGGAAGACAACAGGATGCCCGGGAATTCCAGCCTGCGGCAAGCCCCATTCCATGGAAGCATGCTCTACTGCCCACTTGTCAGGGCATTTTGTCATCTCTTGCATCAAGCCGACGTTCCCTAAAGCCGCCAAAGACTTGCCTTGAAGGTTATTCCAGCAGGAAGCATCCGTGGAGTCACGCCTCCTTCCCCGACCTTGTAGCCATGAGCATTGAGAGATATTGTGTGGTAGGGCATGTCTTCGGCAAGCTGCAGATGTAGCGGTTTGAAGCTCACCATTATAGAAGCGGTGCGAAGGGTAGTCACCTCTAGTGAACAGGACTTCAGCATCTTGCAGTTGGGCAGAAGCGGGCCTGTCTGAGTCTGAGTTGCTGACAGAGACGCTGGTCCATACGATACTGAACCTCTCGGCATTATCGGATCGTTGGGCTGTGTTGCTTCATATCTTTGCTGCCGTATCTGCGGAGGCAATGTACGCAAAGGCAACGGTTATTACGTCTTGACAGGTAGAGCCGTGACATTATACCGTTCACACGAGCCAGTGTTGTCCGATGTTGAGGATTGCAGGTCTTCCCTGCCATTCCTTGGGCCTTGGGTCGCTCGGGCGCCCTTTGGAGTGTCATATCGCATACACGTTTGGACCTGACTGGGACTGCGAGCAAACTTGGGATGCCAGGGCTCGAAAAACCTTACAGGCGAGCTTAGGAACCACAAAGCATGCGCCGGACATACACACTGAAACATGCACAATGCTGTCGTACAGCAAATTGCCAAGGCCAACCGAAGCGTACGCATGATGCGGTCGATCAGCGAGAGACGTGTGAACTCCACACGGGCACGATCAAGTAGTGCAAGCGCGTGAGGAACTGTCCAGCAGGACTGTCTCAGAGTCCTGACTTGGCCGGCGGTGAGGATCCGGTCCACTCGACCCCAAAACACCCGAGAAGGAGTTGCTCTCACAAAAAGTTATCCATTCTCTCCCCAGCTGTGCATCGACTCGCACACAGCGGTGTTGGGGGGACCACCAGATCACATGAACGTGGGGGCACTTAAGAATGTTCTACTAAGATCAGACGCTCAGCAGGCAGAGGAGGCTAGGCGACAGACGATTAGTGATTAGTGGTGGATACCCCCCCGGCCTGCAGTCTGTGCGGCTGCAATCGGAATTTGTCGGCGAGTATCTGCATGGAGTGCATATGGGACAGGGGTGATGAGGCTTGACAGTTTCACCAAAGCAAACTTCCCCCGACCTCGAAGAAACTGCGCCGCTCCTCCGCAAAAGCATCGAGCCCGCTGTCCAGCCTGAGCAGGAAAACTCCGAGGATTCCACGCTCACCTCGTGAGCCCAGCCATGGTGAAAGCCGTCCGAGTCCCGAGCTTTTGTGCTGAGCCAAAGCTGGAGACCGGCCTGACAACCGACAGAAAGCCATGGGCAACGCTTGAAACAACAACAATCACCGAATGCACTGGACGCCCTCTTTTGAGGTAATTGTCTGAACAAAGCACGCAGGGCTAGGAACGGCAAACCACGCACTCTTGAACCTGGGCCCCTAGTGGTATAGGCTTTGGGAATTTGTGTTATTTGGGGTAGCAAGGCAAAAAGGCCATGTTGGAAATGCCATGAGACCTCTTGCTGCGGTACAGCTAAAGCAGGGAACGGCCGTTGATTTTCAAAGTGGCTCCCAATGATAGACATGTGCCATGGGGATTCGTGGGACTATCAAGACCTTTTGACATTGGAAGGGTGGCCGTACCTGATTGATTCTGAAGCAACCAAGGATCACGAAGAGGATTTCGACGCTGAGATTGATCTGGCATTTATTGTGATCATGCTGCGTCTGAAGCTGATGCCGAGGGTTCTTACAATTCTGATGAAGACGACTGTGAGGGTGATGATGACGATGACGATGAGGATGCTGATGATGATGGGTGGTGCTGGTCGGACGAAGACTTCATGGGCTGAAAGCTTGGCTCGATAGGTGGCAACCAGCGTCAGCTTCTTGCTGATCGTCAAGGGTCGTGACACTCGCACATAAACAGATTCGCATCACACTCTTACTAGAGGCGCCCATAGCATTCTATGACAGCGCATGAAGGAGATCCAAGAATGTGTCCTGTGCAACGAGCCAGGGCTTGGACCCCAGTTGCTGAGGATCTCCGATGAGCACCAGCCTCGTCGAGTGTGCCAACAGCTGTCACTGTCACAGAACTACGTCTGAAGCTGAAATTCTGTTAAGGGACTTCTCGCAGCCATGTCTCAAAGCCACAAGCGCCTGGCGAATCCCGTGCGAGAGAAGAAGAGAAGGAAAACTAGTCTTGTGCCCGCACTGGCATCAGCAACAGTATCCCACGGTCCAAGCG